ATTTCAAACTTTATGTTGAAAGCTATTGGAAGATACTAAAATTTTGTGAGCAGACAATACAAAATTCTCTGTACTGAGTATGACTTTGGCATACAATGTATGACGTTTTGTCCCAGAAGAGTAACTGTCTCTATTTAGAGCCATGTGACAAAAAAAAAGTCTTTGTAGAACTTCTGCCTCTCCCAAAATAGTTACTCTCATGTGAAAAATCTAGCTGGCCATCTGGACTCAAATTGTACCTTCAGACATTTCTGCTCATCACCTCTCTATCCAACTTTTAGTAGCTTCCAATGTCCTGCCAAGGACTTTTCTGCATATTTCTCTCTTGCTCGCTTTTCTCATTCCATCTCTGAAAAAATTCCAGTTCAAGATTCTTTTGGGCATGAGTGTGCAAAGCAACAAACAAACATTTGACAAGAAATATACTTGGAAATCAGTGGAGGGACTTCCGTGAAGCCTGATGCCCTTTGCACTTGGGTGAGGATCACTCAGCACTCCTGGTGGATCCCAGGACAATACAGCCTGGTGATGCTATGTAGCAAATCCTTTTCATGTAGTGGGTCATTAAATGGCTGTATACACTGAAAACAACCTTAGAAAACATATATAAAGTATAATTTACTAGTTAAGACTAGAGTTGATTTGCCAAGTTACTTAACCTTTCTAAGTTTGTTTCCTCATCCTTAAATGAGGCCAACAGTGGTACCTACCTCTTTGGGTCCTTGTGAAGATAAAGTGAGAAGAGGTCTGTAAAGATCTTAGCAGGTACCTACCCAGGATAACAGCTGCCCTTAGTGGTGCTGTTCCCTATATAGTTGTGCTAGCTTCATAAGCCTATATTTGTGCTCTTGAGAGCATTTTGGAGGAATTAAAAGTGAGTTGGGAAGGAAAATGAGAGTCATCCTTTGCTCTTCATTAGCAAGTATAAGGATCTGCACTTTTTCCCCCTTGAGATGAGCTAAAAATCCATCTTGGTAGAATTTCTACCCATTGGCTCTAATTCTCCTCCTTTGGACCCCATAAAACACATGTGGGATTTTTCTCTCCCATCGTGAGCTCTTTGGACATTTTTGGAAAGTAATTCTGCTCCTTATTACATCTTCTTTACTTAAAGAAACACTTTGCCTTTCCCAGTGTAATGAGATTATATCAGGATTCGTTCATTTCTAGACTTATAGGTTATGTCTGCTTTTAGGCTGTGACATCCATATCAGTTCGGTTGCTCAGTCATGTCTAACTCTTTGTGACTCCATGTACTGCAGAATGCCAGGCTTCCCCACCCTTCACCATCTCCTGGAGCTTGCTCAAACTCATATTCATTGGGTCGGTGATGCCATCCAACCATCTCATCCTCTATTGTCCTCTTCTCCTCCCACCTTCAATCTTTCCCAGCATCAGGGTCTTTTCCAATGAGTCAGTTCTTTGCATCAGGTGGCCAAAATATTGGAGCTTCAGCTTCAGCATCAGTCCTTCCATATTTAGGACTGATTTCCCTTAGGACATCCAGATCAGCAGCCTCCAGATTCCCTATAGAAAGGACAGCCAGAGCCACAAATCAATCTGCATAAATGTATTGAGTGTCATTATACATAAGGCAACTGGAGAAGAGAGATGTCACATGCTTCATAACATCAAGTCCTTTGGGGTTGTCAGTGGAGGGTGAATCTATGCTTGCCTGTGTCAGGGGGTGGAGGTGCTCAGGGTTGGAGGGTGAGGCCAGCCCTTAGTGTTCACACCACTGGTAGGAAGATACACTTTCCCCTTGGAAAGTGTTTGTCAGTCAGTCATGTCCAACTCTTTGAGATCCCGTGGACTGTAGTCTGCCAGGCTCTTCTGTCAATGGAATTCTCCAGGCAAGAATGCTGGAGTGGGTAGCCATTCCCTTCTCCAGGGAATCTTCCAGACCTAGGGGTTGAACTTGCATCTCCTGCATTACAGGGAGATTCTTTTCTGTCTGAGTCACTCAACCAGTCACTAATCCCGATTGCTAAGGCTTCATGGCTGCCTCGAGGCTCCTGCTTACTCTTTACTAATTGTTATGAATGGCATGTTTGTCTTCCTTGAAAATTCATTTGTTGAAATTTACTCCCCTCACCCCCATGAGAAGGTATTAGGAGGTGAGGCTATAGGAGGTAATTAGGATTAGATGGGATTACCAGGACAGGGAAATCTATATGCAGGTCAAGAAGCAATAGTTAGAACTGGACATGGAACAACAGTCTGGTTCCAAATAGAAAAAGGAGTATGTCAAGGCTGTATATTGTCATCCTGCTTATTTAACTTATATGCAGAGTACATCATGAGAAATGCTGGACTGGATGAAGCACAAACTGGAATCAAGATTGCCGGGAGAAATATCTATAACCTCAGATATTCAGATGACACTACCCTTATGGCAGAAAGTGAAGAAGAACTAAAGACCCCTCTTGATGAAAGTGAAAGAAGAGAGTGAAAAGGTTGTCTTAAAGCTCAACATTCAGAAAATTAAGATTGTGGCATCTGGTCCCATCACTTCATGGCAAATAGATGGGGAAACAATGAAAACAGTGACAGACTTTATTTTTTGGGGCTCCAAAATCACTGCAGATGGTAACTGAAGCCATGAAATTAAAAGACACTTGCTCCTTGGAAGAAAAGCTATGACCACCCTAGACAGCATATTAAAAAGCAGAGACATTGCCAACAAAGGTCCATCTAGTCAAAGCTATGGTTTTTCCAGTGGTCATGTATGGATGTGAGAGTTGGACCATAAAGAAAGCTGAGCACCGAAGAATTGATGCTTTTGAACTGTGGTGTTGGAGAAGACTCTTGGGAGTCCCTTGGACTGCAAGGAGATCCAACTAGTCCATCCTAAAGGAAATCAGTCCTGAATATTCATTGGAAGGACTGACGGTGAAGCTGAAACTCCCATAGTTTGGCCACCTGATGCAAAGAACTGACTCATTGGAAAAGATCCTGATGCTGGGAAAGACTGAAGGTGGAAGGTGAAGGGGATGACAGAGGATGAGATGGTTGGATGGCATCACTGACTCAATGGACATGAGTTTGAGTAAGCTCTGGGAGTTGGTGATGGACAGGGAGGCCTGGTGTGCTGCAGTCCATGGGGTCACAAAGAGTCAGACATGACTGAGTGACTGAACTGAACTGAACTGAACCAGGGCAGGGCCCTTGTGAATGGGATTAATGCCTTTATGAGTCACAAGAGAGCTTGTGCTCTCTTCTGTCTGTAATGGGAGCATCGTAAGTCAACAGTCTGGAACTCTAAAGAGGGCTCTCACGAGAACCTGACCATGCTGGCACCCTGATCTCAGATTCCAACCTCCAGAACTGTGAGAAATGACTTTTTGCTGTTTATAAGCCACTCATCTATGGTCTTTGTTACAGCAGCCTGAACATACTTAGACATTTCTGCTGCTCTGGGTGGTTACAAACTCTCGCCATTTTTTTCAGAGCAAAGGTGAATGCTGAAATAAAATTAGGGTTACAGAGTAACTCACAAATAGGTACCATGCCTGCTCTCTCAGCCTACAGACCCTGGCCCATCTACATGGATTTTTCCAGGCTGTTTGTCTGTCTGCCTGGTTCTGGATAATTGGATATAGCAGCAATCACTGTTTCTCTTCCCATTAGGAGCACCCTGCTTATCTCTATCTCCTCAGAGTATAGACCCATGGAGAAGCCTCAGGAATGAGAAGAAACTCTGTCTTCCCATTTTCTGAGTCCCTATTTCCTGCTGTATGATCTACATCATCTCAGGACAGTGGGAATTTTCTCTTCTGTCAGGGGATTCTCTGTCCTTTACCCACAGGGATGTGGCCTCTTCCTATACTCTGAAAGTGAAAGTTGCTCAGTTCTTTGCAACCCCCTGAACTATACAGTCCATGGAATTCTCCAGGCCAGAATACTGGAGTGGGTAGCCATTCCGTTCTCCAGGGCATCTTCCCAACCCAGGGACTGAACCCAGATCTCCTGCACTGAAGGTGGATTCTTTACCAGCTGAGCCTCAAGGGAAGCCCAAGAATACTGCAGTGGGTAACCTATCCCTTCTCCAGCGGATCTTCCTGGCCCAGGAATCAAACCGGGGTCTCCTGCATTGCAGGCAGATTCTTTACCAACTGAGCTATGAGGGAAGCTGATCTTCCTATACTCTGAGCCAGTGTAAAACCCAAGAGCACAATAGCGCATCTGTCTTACAAGGACTTGCAAAGGGCACCCTTAGGCTGCTTTTGAATGTATGCTTCATTTCTGTGCCAGCCTCTGTGACTATAGAACTGGAGTCCTATGGCTAGTTCAGCTTGAGTAACATGCCCAGTCTCATGGTAAAGAGATAGGATTTACTATTTGCAGAAGGAATCAAGAAATGACCATGATTTGTGATTCACCCATTCCCCATCCTTTACATTTCCTGCTGTTTCTTTTGATATATTACCTGATCTGGAGCCCAAGTGTATTCTGACCAGTGCATAAAAGCATCATCAAAATTTCTGCCACTTCTCTTATGCTCCAAATGCTATACAAAATCTACATTTACTATTTCTAGAAAATCTATGGGTAAATATTGTGGATACAACTGAGATTGCTTTCAGAAAGCTAAATTATACAACCAACCTCAGGAGATCAGAACAGGGCAATGCAAAACTACTTTCAGCAGAAAAATGTTCCTTGGGTCTAAGAGATTTGAAGAAACTCAACTGAGCATGTAAATATTTCTAAGGGAAAAAAATGAGGCCGTCACAAAGGACCCTGGGAAGCAGGAGGTGTGGAGGTAAACTTCACCAGTGCCTATACAGCGACTGTCCTGGGAGAGGGGCTGTGACTATTTTAGTTTCAGTGTTCTGATGCCATGAAACAGGTGTTTCATCTAATTCTTGCTCTGATTCCGTGTTCACCAGTTAACCTCTTGATGATAATGTGGCTTCCTCCATGCTTTCCAGTGGGGGAAAGTGTTAGTCATGCTGATATGACCTTGAGGTTTTTATCAAAATTCTAATCCTCCTTACCATTTTCAAAGTTGGTATTCTGTTTTTTCATCACTATGGTGAGCTTGGTCAGTGTGATTCCATCTTGAGAGAGGGATGGATATTTGGTGGGCTGAAAAAAATCATGTCATTACTGTCACAAAACTGATTGCCAGATGTTACATGCTAGTAAATTTCCGAGGTACCTACATTTGCCATTCTTTGGACACATTTCCAGCCCTTTTCCTTTGGAAGGTTTTCCTTCCAAATCTGTCTAGATTTCAATAACCTCATTTTTCAGATGGAGAAATTAAGTGACTCCTTAAAGATCACATTGTTAAGATGGTAGGTTTAGAATCCAGGTCTGTCTGACTTCAAAGCTCATGCTATTTCTCCTTGACCAGATACTTCCTTCTCCTTGTTTGGACCCAGTAGTTCTCTTTTATGGCCCAACATTGCATGCTTAGTAGGGAGGTTGGTTTAGTCTCTAAGTCGTGTCTGGCTCTTGTGACCCCATGGTCTGTAGCCTGCCAGGCTCCTTTGTCCATAGGATTTTCCAGGCAAGCGTACTGGAGTGGGTTGCCATTTCCTTCTCCAGCTTATTAGGGAGAGGGCTGCCTTGAATGTATCTGTGATGGACCCACCTCTTCATCTACAAATGAATACTTCCCTAGAGGAAAGGTCAGCTGCCATCTTTGTGAACAAATGTTAAATGGCACCACCAAACAGAAGGAAATGAGGTGCAGAGTCTCATATGTAAAGACATTTTCAGATAAGTATGTAAAGGGCCGGGCTTAGAGTATGGTAGATCCCGTTACCAGTGGCTCTTTTTCCTAATGGGACAGAGAAGTCGGAAGACATAACAATGTAAGCCAAGGATTCCCATGGGGGGAAAACCACAGGAGCCAGTTGCTGCATAAAATGTTTGGACAATTCTTCGTAATCATCCACCTCTGGTAGATTATCTGCCCCCTTGGGTGGGAAACGCCCTCCCAGACAGAGAGGAAGGCAGTAATCCATGGGAACCATCTGTCAGTGCTGACGGGACTTTGGCAGGGAGGCAAGCTGGGATCCATTCCTACTGATCTGTAAATCCAGCTTTCAAAACTGCTCCCCATGGGAGGCCTGAGGATGTCTTAGAATACTTTGTGGGTCAATTTCTGAAAGAGGGTATGTGAAAGGGCAGGAGGAAATATCATCTGGAACCATTTAAGAGGATGTTTGTCAGGCCCCAGCTCAGATGTCACCTCTGTAGGAAGGCTCCCGCCCCTGAATTGTATTTCTCTATTTATATATGTCATAGATCAATCATTTGAATACTATTTATTTACTTATTACCCTCTCTCAACTAGGATGTAATCTTCATGAGAGTAGAAGCTTCATCTCCCTTTTGTCAGAATATTGCAAATTCCTGAGAGAGAGTCTGGTACATGGTGGGTACTTGATAAATATTTGTTGGCGGATTGAGTCAATGAATGAAGCAATAAATAAATTAATGAATGGGTCCAGAAGATGGTGAGAAACAGTAAGAAACTATGGTGAGTGGAAAGAACTGGCATTTGGAAATAGATGGACCTGATCCCAACCTTGATCCTAAATTAGCTGGATATACGATCTAATTTTCTGAGCTTTATTTTGTGTCTGTAAAACTCTGTTTCATAAAATTATTATAAACATTAAATCACAGTCCATTACCATCTGCAAAGTGTCTGGCGTCATGGCTGACGTCATGAGCCTTGATGCCAGTCACTTGGAGAACTAGTGTTTATTAGTGTCACTATCTTCCTTCTAAATACACAAGCATAAACACAACCACTCATCTACCTTGTGATAAATAAGCTTCAAATTGATATACATTTCTTGTACGAAATGCTAGGCACTTGAGACTGTTAGATAAATAAAATTCATATTCTACCCTCAGAAAGCTCCTAGCACCCTTTGTGAGCGAGCTCAGTCACTTCAGTCATGTCTGACTCTTTGCGACCCTATGGACTATACCCTGCCAGTCTCCTCTGTCCATGGGATTCTCCAAGCAAGAATACTGGAGTGGGTTGCCGTGCCCTCCTCCAGAGGATTGTCTCAATCTACAGATCGAATCCAAGTCTCCTGCGTCTCCTGCATTGGCAGGTGGATTCTTAACCGCTGAGCCACCAGGGAAGCCCTCCTAGTACCCTTTACATAGAAACAAAAAAATCAAGTTTGTTTGGAGCCAGGAATATGAGGTGGCATTTTCATTTCTTAATCATACAAGCATCTACTTTCTGTCTCACACAATTATTGAATTGAATTTTATCTTTAAACCAAGCCTGAGATAGGTGCTATTTTAATTTTGCAGATAAATTGAGACTCAGAGAGTGAAGTAATACATTCAAGATCACACTGTTAACAGGCCATAGACTAGCAGCTCATTACCAGTTCTGTGCGACATGAACTTCTGCATTCTTCTCGCTATTTCATGCCTGAGTGTTTCTAACAACTCTGTTGGTGACTCTAGAGGAAGTCTCTGTTTTTTTTTTCACCTATTTGCATACACAATATGTATTCTCTCCTTATTCGAATTGAATCTTTCTTCTTGGAGTCCTCTAAGGCTTTGATATATGCCTGCCTTTATGTAAGCTGTTGGCTTACTGCTCAGTTTATTTCATTTATTATAAAGGATGTGCGCATTTTATGTATTATGCTCCAGGGCAACTTAGTGAATCATCCTGTGATTCAAAAATACCAAACCAGTGGTTTTTTTGAGCCGCAGCCATCATTTGGTGTGATCACAGAAGTTTAGCCATTTGGAAATTTTGTTCTGAGAGCCATTTTGTTTCAAGGTGACAACTCACGAACTGAATGAAAAAAAAAAAAGATGTATTGAGAATAAACTACACTTACATATAAGAATATTTCATAAACTATATGCTGAGTAAAAGATGCCAGACTCGAAAGATTACATACTGTATGGTTCCATTTAGTAGAGTTTAGAAACAGCAACACTAATGTATGGTGAGAGGAGTCTAGGTGTTGGTTACCCTGGAGTCGGGGAGGAGAAGTGGCAGCTTGGGGAAATGAGGAAGACTTCTTTGGCTCATCCAGCTTGGAAATGGGAGCAAGATTCTCTCAGAGAATTCTGATGATCTTTCACTTATGCTGTTCTGCCTCTTTCCAAGTAGGAGTTTACTCTGTAGAAGGCAGACTCTTCTGTTTTTGAGCCATTCCAGTGACTAAATGCCCATTACACAGACAGTTTCTCCTGCAACTTCCAGCCATTGGTTCTACTTATGTTTTTAAGTGTCTCCTAGAAGAGTAAGAGTAAAACCTACTGCATTTAGATGAGGTCAGTCATGTGCCAGGTGCTTTACCGATTTTCTGTTTTAATTTTATTAGCATCCTTCAAGTTAGGTACTTGAGGATCAGAAAGGTTAAACTTAGGTGCTATTTTTTCCTTTTTAATATTTAAGAAAACTGAGCATCAGGGAGGCTAATAGCTTACCTAAGGTCACACAACAACTAGATGGTCAATTTCAAACTCAGTCTAAGTTCGAAATCTGTGGTTTTTCCATCACTCCACTTTACCCTCTTTCTCTTGGTACAGTCTGTTAAATGCTTGAATACCAGTCATCATACCCCAACTGTTTTGTTTTATTCTATTTTATTAAAAATTTCTGACCATGACCATGAGATTGAGCTCACATTTACCTTGAAAAACACAGTGTAAGTTGATCTTGATGATGATGATCGATTGTGATGTGTTGCTGGTGACAGGATGGTAATGGTGGTGATGGTGGTGATGATGGTGGTAGTGGTGATGATGGTGCTGATGATGGTGGTGAGGATGATGGTGGTGATGATGGTGCTGATGATAGTGGTGGTGGTGGTGATGATGGTGCTGATGGTGTGGTGGTGGTGGTGATTATGAAGGTGTTGATGATAGTGGTGGTGATGATGGTGGTGTTGGTGGTGGTGGTGATGATGGTGGTGTTGGTGGTGGTGGTGATGGTGGTGGTGATAGTGGTGGTGGTGATGATGGTGCTGGTAATAGTGGCGGTGATGATGGTGGTGATTGTGGTGGTGGTGGTGATGGTTGTGGTGGTGATGATGGTGCTGATGGTGGTAGTGGTGGTGATGGTGGTGATGATGATGGTGGTGGTGGTGGTGATGGTGGTGTTGGTGATGGTGGTGGTGATGATGATGGTGGTGGTGGTGATGGTGCTGGTGGTGGTGGTGCCAGTGGTGGTGGTGGTGGTGGTGGTGGTGGTGATGATGATGGTGCTGATGATAGTGGTGGTGATGATGGTGCCAGTGGTTGTGGTGGTGGTGGTGGTGGTGATGGTGGTGGTGGTGATGTTGGTGGTGGTGTTGGTGGTGTTGGTGGTGGTGGTGATGATGGTGCCGATGGTGGTGGTGGTGGTGGTTGTGGTGATGGTGGTGGTGGTGATGGTGGTGGTGATGATGATGGTGCTGATGATGGTGGTGGTGATGATGGTGCCAGTGGTGGTGGTGGTGGTGGTGGTGATTGTGGTGGTGGTGGTGGTGGTGATGATGATGGTGCTGATGATAGTGGTGGTGATGATGGTGCCAGTGGTGGTGGTGGTGGTGGTGGTGGTGGATTGTGGTGGTGGTGGTGGTGATGGTGGTGGTGGTGATGGTCGTGGTGTTGATGGTGTTGGTGGTGGTGGTGGTGATGATGGTGGTGTTGGTGGTGGTGGTGATGATGGTAAAGGAAGTCACACAGTGCTAGCAGTTCATAGTAGCTGCAAACATCTTTAGTAGAAGCTGAGAGCTTTATAGCAAATGCTTCATTTGTGAACAACAGGCCTATTTTCATCTTATGGGCACCATTAATCCTGTCACTGCTCAGGTTTCTTTCTTTGCCTTGGCTGCTAGAGAACTCAGAACAAAAACTGTAGCTTACCTCTTGTCCAGGATCATACAGGATGCAGTTATATGGACTGACCTTTCACCTGCATTTTCTCTTTCCTTCTTGTTCATGGTTTCCCCTCTTATTTTTCTTGCTGCATCATGTCTTTTGGTAGATGCTGATTATTATTCATGGTGTGGAATCAGGTGTGGGGAAAAAACATTGTCCAATGCAATTGTCACAGCCAGTTATGGCATAGGTATTAATACTCTCATTTTATACTTAAGAAAATGAGCTTCAGAGAGGTAAGATGCCTTTCTAAAGTTGCACAGCTTGTATGTGGGAGACCTTGGTTTCAAAAAAAAATGATGCTACTTTAGAGCCCACACAGGACACCCTACTTCCTCCTTGCAGGTGCCTTTTAGTCTTTTTTGTTTTTAATTGTACAGCCACTTTGCTTTTATTTATTTGTTGTTTTTGAGTTGCTAAGTCATGTCTGACTCTTTGTGACCCCATGGACTGCAGCACACCAGGCTTCCCTGTCCATTTCCATCTCCTGGAGCTTGCTCAAACTCATGTCCATCAAGTCACTGATGCCATCCAAACATCTCATCCTCTGTTGTCCCCTTCTCCTCCTGCCCTTAATCTTTCCCAGCATCAGGGTATTTTCCAAGGAGTCAGATCTTCACATCAGGTGGCCAAAGGATGGGAGATTCAGCTTCAGCATCAGTCCTTCCAATGAATATTCAGGACTGATTTTCTTTAGAGTTGGTTTGATCTCCTTGCAGTCCAAGGGACTCTCAAGAGTTTTCTCCAACACCACAGCTCAAAACATCAATTCTTCAAAATTCAGTGTTCTTTCTGGTCCAGTTCACTCATCCATGCATGACTACTGGTAAAATCATAGTTTTGACTGTACAGACCTTTGTTGGCAAAACAATGTCTCTGCTTTTTAATACACTCTCTAGGTTGATCATAGTTTTTCTTCCAAAGAGCAAGTGTCTCTTAATTTCACGGCTGCAGTCATCATCTGCAGTGATTTTGGAGCCCAAGAAAATAAAATCTGTCATTTGTTTCTATTGTTTCCCCATCTATTTGCCATGAAGTGATTTTTAAAATTAATTCACTAGTTTATTTTTGGCTACACTGGGTCTTTGCTGTGGTGCATGGGCTCTTTGTTGCTGCTCTGGGGCTTTTCCCTAGTTGGGTGAGTGGGGGCTACTCTCTAGTGGCATGCGGGCTTCTCATTGCAGTGGGTTCTCTTGTCGCAGAGCATGGGCTCCAGGTATCATGGGCTTCCACAGCTGTAGCACAGGCTCAATAGTTGTGGTGAATGGGCTTAGTTGCCCTGCAGTTTGTGGACTCTTCCTGGATCAGGTATCAAATCCATGTCCCCTGCATTGGCAGGTGGATTCTTAACCACTGGACCATCAGGGAAATCCCAGCCTCCCAGCCTTGAGAGTCTAGTATTCTTGTTCCACTGTCTGAGGATAGGCAGGTGCATGGTGGCAGCAGAGAGGACCCCAGGATCTCTGTCCTGAGCGCTGATCACCACTGGACCTCCTCACCATGCGACCCACTCAAACTCTACCTCCCATCTCCTCTCCTTTCACATAGGGATCCCTGGGGCTTGTGTGTCTCCTCCATCAGCCACCCCAATTCTCTGTGGGCTAAAAAAGTGTGGTAGCCATGTGGCTGCAGGTTTGGTCAGTAGCTGACCTCACCCCCAGCTTTTGTTGTTCAGCTGCTTTCTTTCACCTAATCCTCACAGTAATATGATGATGTAGGTCCTTTTTTGATCTCCCTTTTAGAGATGGAAATACTCAGTCACAGAAGGGTTAGATAAACAGCTTGCATCCATTCACTCAGCAAAGAATGAGCAAACCAGTATTTCAGTGCTGATGTGCTTGCTGCAGAACCCATGATCTTCACTGCTGTGCACACAATCGTATTATTCCCCACTGCTCCTGTCCTGGGTCCCAGGTCAGGGTTCAGGGACCTCAGCTGAGGACTAGGTAGGATTTACAATGACCCATCTGACCTCCCAGCCCTCCTTCCTGAGTCTGGATAGATTGGATTCAATTCTGAGAGCCTCTCAGTGCTCCGATTATATTGTAGGTTTACACTGGTTTGGTTTCAGATCATGAGGCAGGAGGCAGGCATCTCAAACCCATCCCATCTCTTTTCCTGTCCAGTTAACCTCTGTTCACAAGAACTGTGCCTTTAGTGGGATGCCTGAATCCTGGAAGAACCTCCAGCTCAAGCCAGCCAAGTCTCATTCAGCCTTCAAAGGCCCACCTCAAGGAAATGCCAGATCCCAGTATCAGATCCTGGTCCAACTCATGCAAACCACACAAGTCCAGAGCAATTGAGGCCATGGAATTCTGAGTTGAGATCAAGTGGTTTAATACTAAAGGAAAACATTTCCAAAGTTTTCTTAGAGAGAAAGTAAAACAGTGATGGTATTGAATTCTCCAGCTTCCTAATTCATTTCTATTTGATCAGCTCCTGATAGGATGTCACGTCTGAGTATCCCAGCCCACAAATTTATAGTCAAAGAAGTCAATGTTTTTACATGGATCAAGCAGACGCCAAAGACAGACTTAGACCCGCCCAGCACCAAGTGAGGAAATTTTCCATGCCAGGTCCTGGGGTAGTTGATTTTGCATAGATTCTCTTATTAGTCTCACGAATGCTTTATATGGTCTAATATTTTTTGCCACACTTTATAGATTTGGGCATGAAGTTTATAGAAGGAAGAGAAATAACACTGTAGGGATCCTGGAAAGTGGAAGGGCATGTTCTGATGCTAAGTCCAGTGCTTTGCAATCATGCTCTCAGGTTCAAACACACCCTCGGGCTTCTACGTGCAAGTGAATCCACCATCACAGCAGGGCTCCTCTCTGGGCAGAAGCACTGTGTCAGGAGAGAAGGGCATTTCCTTGTGGAGATACTGGGAGTGCTGATTGGCACTGCACTGCTGCACTCTACGTGGTACTGGAAAGTACACAAGAGCACATCCACGTGTACAAATGTGACAAAGCGCGCCGGACACGTGAACCAAGTTACAGGATAGGACACAGCAACACATATTTGCATCTTTGACAGTTGGCAACTTGAAGATTCCTTCAAGTAGGGGACTTACTGTATATCCTTCAGTCTTGGTGGAGGGGGCTGGAGGGGATAGCCCAATGTTCATTACCTACGCCATTTGCAATCCTGGCTCATAAAAACCTTGCACATAAAGTCATCACCTTGTTTACCTTCTGTATGGAAAGAATTGAAGGACTTAGGAAAGGATGGAGCCATGAGGTGAGGAGTTTGGGGTCCATGAATGACTGCATGGAGCAGAGTTCTCCAGATGGAAATGAGCAACGAACAGACCCTCGCTGGGTTAAGCCAGAGAGATAGGGGGTTTGTAACTTACAGCAGTTGGCTTACCTTAATACTGGTGGGAAGATGAGGAGATTGAGGGGAACCCTGGGGAGAATCAGGGTCTGCAGAGCTTCAGTATAATCTCAGAGAGAGGGGAGACATATAACCACAGCCTTAGGAAGCAGAATGTGGATTCTTTTGCTGATCCTCCTCTGTACAGAGACTTCCCTGGTGAGGATCACTAAGGGCTCTGGAGGGTGGAGGAGCTGAAGGCACAAGCTCCAGGGTTGGGTCGCTCAGCTTTGCAACTCAGCCCCAAGCTGTGCTGGGGGCTCCACTTTGCCTAGCACTGGCTCACCCAGGTAGGATCAGAGCCCTGGAATCCTGGTTGTTGGGGAGAAACATCTGGGGGTGTGTGCATCATAGACACTCCCTAGAGATAAAGGGGGAGCTAAGCTGGTTAGTGAAAGGTGGTGTGTATGTGTGTGAGTTGCTCAGGCATGCGGCCCCATGGACTGTAGCCCACCAGGCCCCTCTGTCCATGGGATTTTCCAGGCAAGAATACTGCAGTGGGTTACCACTCCCTTCTCCAGAGGTTCTTCCCAACCCAGGGATGGAACCTGGGTCTCCTGTGTTGCAGGTGGATTCTTTACCATCTGAGCCCCCAGGGAAGCCAAATGAAAGGTTACCTAAGCTTTTTCCTTCTCAATTTTCTGAGTCCCGGATTCCAAAGACAGACAAGTAGGAGGGAGGAATCTAAATTTCTACAAAACAGCTTGGCATCCCTTGTTCCTGCGGCAGTGGTGCTTAGTGCAGACTGGTGGGAGGCGAGGCAGGACCAGGCAGACCTCAGAGGTTTCTCAGGGCCATGCCGATGGGTTCAGTCTTTACTGGGTAGGCAAAGGGGAGACAGGCAAAGCAGCAAGCCGAGCTGCTCCAAGTCTCTGGTGTCTCTGATGATCCAGATCCAGAAAGGTGGTGGTGGGGTGGCATGTGACCTGAAATAGAGTGAGTTTCTACAGGGCACTGGTCCAGAGTGGACATGAGGAGGGCAGGATGCGGAGAGCAGCAAGGGGTAGTGCTGATTGGCAAGTGGGATGCCGCAGGTGAGGGAGGGTCAGGGACTGGTAGCTGGCTTCAAGAGTTGGGAGGAGGTGCAGAGAAGACTAGGCGGTGGTCACTGGGGGTAAGTCCAGGGTAATTAGGGTAGGAAATTAGGAAAATCCCGTAGTTTCCTCATTGTACCCTCAGGACAGAGGCTGTGCTTTTCTCAGCTCTGCCCTGGCAGCGCCTGGCAGAGCACGTATGGGCTGAATTGAATCCATTGCTTCCCTGAGCCATCTTCGGTGCCTCTTCAACTTCAGCAAACCAGTTCTTTTGCTCCTCTTGAGGTTCCTAGAACTCTGGCAAGGACCCGGAATGCTAGAGATTATGTGGCTTCTATCCAAGGACAGCTCTCAGTGACCTGATAGAGGCTGTGATGTCACAAGCAAAGGACACTGTCCAGAGCTACCAGTTGGAGACCCAGGCCAGGTTGAGGGTTGCCGGATTTAGCAAATAAAAATACGCCCAGTTAAAATTTGAATTTAAGATAATAAAATGAAGACATTTTTAGTGTCACTGTGTGTCAAAGGGCTTCCCAGGGGGCACAATGGTAAAGAGTACACCTACCCTGCAGGATATGCAAGAGATGTAGGTTCGATCACTGGGTTGGGAAGACCCTCTGGAGAAAGAAATGGCAACACGTTTCTGGCAAGTATTCTTGCCTGGAAAATTTCATGGACAGAGGAACCTGGTGGGTATAGTCCATGGAGTTGCAAAGAACTGGACACGACTGAGCACACATGGAGATGTATCAAATATTGCTTGGGACATACTGATTTATTGTTTATCTATGATTCAAAATTAGCCGGGTGTCCTATGTTTTCTTGGCAAGTCGGTCCAGGTCCCTCTGACCTGATTTGCTTGGACAGAATGACTTTGCTAATGAGAGTGCCTCCTCCCAGTAGCTAGAAACAGCTCTTGTGTTGTTCGGGTGACTAAGTCGTGTCCAGCTCTTTGTGACCCCATGTGCTACAGCATGACTGTCTCCTCCGTCCTCCACTATCTCCTGCAGTTTACTCAAATTCATGCCTATTGAGTCAGGGATTCTATCTAGCCATCTCATCCTCTGTCACCCCCTTCTCCTCCTGCCCTCACTCTTTCCCAGCATCAGTCTTTTCTACTGAGTCACCTCTTTCCATCAGGTGGCCAGAGTATTGGAGCTTCAACTTCAGCATCAGTCTTTCCAATGAATATTCAGGGTTGATTTCCTTTAGGGTTGACTGGTTTGATCTCCTTGCTGTCCAAGGGACTTTCAAGAGTCTTCTCCAGCACTAGAGTTAAAAGGCATCAATTCTTTGGTGCTCAGCTTTTTTTATGGTTCAACTTTCATATCCATACATGACTACTGGAAAAACCGTAGCTTTGACTGTAAGACCTTTGTTGGCAAAGTGATGTCTCTGCTTTTTAATACACAGTCTAGGATTGTCATGGCTTGCTGACTCTAAAAAAGGGAGCTTCAGACCCCATTCTGGCCAAGCCTAGGTTCCTCCCCTAACAATTCCCTCACACTTTCTTTCATTCAAAACACTCAGCCCAAGGAGGTGATGGCACCGGGGGAGGCAGCTGGGTGTCATCCATCAAGGCCACTCCCGAGGCAGGCTGAAGAACTGTTGTGGTTCCAGACAGAAGTGATCATTAGGGTCCTAATGAAGATTTGTGGTGCTGCTGGGACAGGCTTCAGCCCCTTGTGGTCCTGGCAGATGGTGGGGGAGTGTACTGAGGCAGGGCTTATGGGAAGGGAGATTCTGGGGATGGGAAGACCTGGGAAGGATGAGCAGAAAGGAGGAGGGAAGAACGTGTGAGCCGAAGGGTTGTCTGAGCTGAGGGCAGAGCTGAAGGGTGGGAAGGAGGATGCATGCGGGAGAAGGAGGATCTGAGGCCATCAAGTCAAGGGCAGAGTCAGGGAAGAGCCGTGAAGACAGCGACAAGCTTGCAGTTAAGGAGCTGTTGGTTTCCTTGGGCTGCTGTAACACGTTAGCACAAGACAACAGAAACATGTTCTCATATTTCTGGAGTCTAGAGTCTGAAGTCATGTTCACTGAGCTGAACTTAAGTCGAGGTGTAGACAAGGCCCTGCTCCATTTGGAGGTTCTGGGGAGAAGCCAGTCCTTACATCTTCCAGCTTCTGGTGGCCCCAGGCATTTCTTGGCTTATGGTCTCATCACTCTATTCTCTGCCTCCATGGTCAAGTGGCCATCCCCTCGTTGTTCTCATAATTCCCTGTTTCTCTCTTATAATATAAGGAGTTATGTGATAGCATGAGGGACCCGGTGTGATGATCCAAAGGGAAATTTTACTCTCATGACCCTGAGCTTAATCCCTTCCTTTGCCATTTAAATTGATGCTCTCTCTTTAGCCATAGAAAGTGTTGCTTAGTGGTTCCAGGATTAGAGTGCGGACATGTTATTTTGGGAGGTACCATTCAGCTCACTCTTTAGTGTGAGGAGGGACTGAGCATCATGTCAGGGTGGGGAAGGTTCCTTCTGGCATCAACAGGAGCCCCTGCCCAAGCTTTCGTTCCTTCCCTGCATTTTGATGCCTCAAAGCCCAGGCCGAGGAATTCACATGTTCCATAGGAAGAGGTGTGTGCTCCTGGTAGCGAGCACTGGGCCGGGAGTCCCAGCTCTCTCTTTCTTTGACACCACCCCACCGCCAGGTGACCTAGGGGGCTGGTCATGCCCCTCTTTGGGACTGTCTCACCCACTGTAAATATGGATGTAGGACTGTGAGTTTTAATCACTCAGTCGTGTTCAACTCTTTGCAATCCCATGGACTGCAGCTCACCAGGCTCCACTGCCCACAGGATTTCTCAGGCAAGAATACTGGAGTGGGTTGCATGGCCTCTAAGGCTTCCCAGGTGGTGTTAGTGATAAAGAACTCCCAGGTGCCAATGCACGGGACATAAAAGACGTGGGTTCAATCCCTGGGTCAGGAAGATCCCCTGGAGGGGAGCAAGGCAACCCACTCTAGTTTTCTTGCCTGGAGAATCCCATGGACAGAGGAATCTGGTGAGCTATAGTCCATATGGTCTTAAAGAGTTGGACACGACTGAAGTGACTTAGCATGCATGGGCCCCTTTGACCCAGAAACCAGTTGGTGATGTCCAGTGTCATTTCATGTGGGGAATCTCAGGTCCCTGGAAGTTGACCTCTGTGTATCTCAGCTTCACTGGGGTGCAGAACCCAATGTTGGCAGTGGTTCAGGCTCAGCTTTTGGACTCACGGTTGATCTCAGCGCTACAGAGTTCTCACTGACGATATGTCCTGACTTAGTAGCGCAGCACAAACCCAGATCAGTAGGGGGGCTGCAGGAACACAGGGAAGGTGGATAAGATTGTCTGTCTGTGACCTTGGGCATGCCGCTGAACTGTCCTCATTTAAAAATTGAGGGTATTTTAGGGGTGGTCAATGGATGAGAATTAGAAGTTAATAATTGCAGAGGGTCCGCTAGAATGTTTGCTCTGCTGTGGGTCTCAGCCAGTGGTAACCTTGGCCCTGAGTAACCCCACAAATGTGGCTCCTGTTTTGTCTTCGGTAACACTCCCCCAGCCCAGAGTCACCTTCTCCCAGACACACAAGGCTCACCCCTCACTTCCTCCAGGTGTTCACAACCTTCCTAGAGAAGTTTCACTGACACCCTGTCTAAACTCTATACCACCACCCCACCCGCCCTGCTTTATTTTTCTCCCTGAATTTATCACAAGGTCACTTACCAGACATTTCACATATTTTTCTGGTTAATGATATTTGCCTGTTTCCCTCTTAAAATGTTGAGTTTTAGAGGCCAGGGATGGAATCCTGTTTTATTACTACTGGATTCTCACTGAAAACCGTGCCTGACACATAGTGTGCTTGCATGCTTAGTTATATCCAACTCTTGGAGACTCCATGAACTGTAGCTCACCAGGTTCCTCTGTCCATGGGATTCCCCAGGCAGGAATACTGGAGTGGGTTGCCCTGCCCTCCTCCAGGGGATCTTCCCGGATCCTCCAGGGATCTGCCCTGCCCTCCAGGGAATCAAACCTGCACTTCCAGCATCTCCTGCACTGCAGACCCACTGAGTCACTTGGGAAGCCCATCTCACAATAAGCGCTTACAAATATTTGTGTAATGACAGAATGAGCAAGAGAGTGAAGGGGACGCTCTTGCAGCTGCTGTGTTGAGGATGGGACGTTGGGAGTGAGGGATAGAAGCTGAGGGAGGAGTTAAGAGGTGACAAGAGTCAGGCAGGAGCTGCTGGAGGCTTGGAGCAGTGGAAGCATTGGGGTGCGGTGGTGTAGGGACAGGATATACAGCAGGATCAGATGGAGTGTGTGGCAGAAAGGGGACTCCAGGTTTTCTGAAGCATGTGGATGAATGGGGCTTCTCTCTACTGCGCTGGAATCTCTGG